AAAATAACATAGGCCTATGTACTATATTAGTAGCATCTTTGAATTTAATTGTTACAATAGTACCAGAGACATAAAACATAAAAAAGTTTTTGTGTTTGGATGAATTTTACTAGTTTGATTTCCATACGTATGTTAATGTGTTTTGTGATGCCTTTGTTTATGATGTGTTGATACCTTTAAAGTGAATGGGTATTTTTTGTATTTTATCTCTGTTTCTAAGGATTTTGAATAAAAGTAAAATTTAAATAAGGATCTAGAGTACAAAAATAAATTGTTTTTTTCCTAAATGATGTCTGTTTTTACTTTGTCTAATTGCAAATAAAATAAATACAGTAGAACCTGTCCTATGGGACACCCTTATGAAGCGGACACTTTTTCAGCCACAAAACAAATGAGATATCTTTTAACACTACAGCAAACCCCCATATAATAATAAATAATAAATATGATTTATAAAGCGTACTTATCCACTTAGAAAGTACTCAAGGTATTAGGAGGATACTCTTTTTGGCCTAGAAGGTGTCACCTTAATAGGGTTCTAATGTATTTTGTTTTATGTTATATCTTTTAAATGCTATCTGAAGCTGTCAGTGACCAAACCATTCCCCATCCCCTCTCAACAACCATGGTTTGGTGAGGTTAGTTGGACATCCACTCAAGTGGCTCCGGGAGCCAATGACACCCATCCAGCAACTCCTTCAGGATGACTTCAATGCCTTTCTTCAAATATTTAGCCTTTCCACATGATGATGGATAAATATGAAGATATACACACAATGGATGGAGAATACTAGCCAGTGTTTCTATTGTGGTTCTTAAATAAATTTTTAATGGTATGTACTTGTGAGAAGGAGCCAAATGTGTAAGGAGTTGGGATCCACATATAGGATGAATCATACTGACCTTATTTAACAAGATACTATGTAAAGTTTTTTTTTGTTTTTTTTCTTGAAAGAGAAGATATTATCAGTATTTTCTGATAATTACCTTGTGACTTATATTTGGTACAGTTACTTCAAAAAGCCCTTAAAATAATGGAGATCTATTTTAACATTAGGCTACAAACATCTCTGACTTATGTAAAGATTGGGAAAGTTAAAAAATGAGCCTGTGCTATACTTCCATACAAGAGGCTTCTATAGAGGGCAATATTTTGGATACTAATGATTAGCAGAGACTACCTGATGGATGTCAAGTATAATTTAATAATAATAACAATGATATCAGGAATTTATAAGGCGCCAATTCCAAAAAAGTTCAAAGGTGCACTATGCAGGTGTGATACCCTCGGAGAACAATATGGTCTTAATTTGCGATTTAAAGTTGCAGAGATTAGAAGTAGTAGTTACTGTATATTAATAGGAAGCTGGTTCCAAAGAAAAGCAGAGGACTTCAATTAGCACTTTAATATATTTGACAAATATTACTACAGGAAATTACACAGGAAGGTGGAGACAATCTTTACTAAAATTTATACGAATTATTATAACACCATCTGTTATATTTCATTCAATGAGAATGAACATTTTAATCAGAAAATATGTTATTGAAAAGGAGAAAATGAAGTTTTAAAATACTATAGCAATTTATCAAACAATAAGAAAATGGTAGCACTTTATAGACTAGTTGAAATATGTATTGTCACAAGCTTTCGTGTACACAGTACACTTCTTCAGGTGAATGATAAGAGGAGCAATATGCAATCGAATATAAAAGGTCTAAAACAAAAGGCAATTGTAATAAAAACAATGGAGGTATTAACATAACAATGAAATCATTCCCCGTAGTGGGCAAGAAAGCCATAGTTTTTGTTTAAACCCAAGTTAACACAGTCAAGTTGCTTAATAATTTTCTGTTCACAAATTTCCCTATCTAGATTGTTCTTCAAAATTACCCTTCTTAACTACAGCAACTTTAAGATTATTGATAGTGTGACCTGTGGAAGTGAAATGTAAGTTGCATTAATGAAATTCAGGTTCAATTTCAAGCAATTATTTTTATTAAACCTTTTCTACTTGGCTGAACTCAAAGTGCTTACTGTGTATTTTTTGTATCTAAAAAGTTGCCAAATCCCATTAAACATAAACTTTGAAGTGAAGAAATAGCTATATTAAGCGCGATCGCCAAATTATCCCAGATGGCAAAAACGCGTTTAGGTCAACACCCTATCACGAACGAGTCTGAGAAATCAACCATTCTAATTACCACACTATATGAATATTCATTTACTACACGCTTGAATTACGGCTTGCGGCTGAACGACGGTGAATCGTTTGGACGCTTGTTGATCGTTTGAACGATTTTCTATTGTTTACTACTATACTAACAGAGCGGTCAACAGGCCCACATGAGTGCGTAGAAATACTGGCGGTTCAAATAATGTTATTATGCAGCTCCTATTCTTTCTTATACGTACATGTGGCTATACTTTCTCTATGCTTATATGAAGATTTGTAAATTACATGATGAAAACGTGCCTGGAAGTCCAGAGCGCGGTATGCGCTATGCGAGTTCCATTGGAATTCGCTTTGTACGCTGCTCTGTAGATAGAACTACGTCGAGACTCTAAAATAGTGCTGGGGTTCACTGTCATTACAAATCACAAACATACTTCATGGGAAGGCGGCATTACATTCTGGCCCTAATATAAAATCAAATCTAGACCTAGGTAGTCTACCTGTCTTTTTTTTATCCTCGCGCACAGGTGGTTACTCACAATCGAGAGATGTATATTTGGTTGACTAGTAAAATTTAGATAAAGACAATAACTTTTCATATTAACAACAAATCATGAGCTTCAGTTTTGATTTATTATTTAACTGATCAAACTACTGTACAGTCCTTTTTCAAATAAAACTGCAGAGATCTCGAGGTCAAGCCTTGGGTGCAGAGAGCAGGGCCCAGAACCATGTGTGTAAACAAGTAGAGTACTGGGTGATTCAGAACTGTCCATTTTCAAATGGGGGATAACATTTTTTTTTAACAATCACTTATTTTTATTTGTTTTTCTTTCTCTCTTTCATACATTGTATGCACCAAATTTGTGTGTGCCGCTGAAACAAAAGTGTATGTTCAGTTGAATAAATAAATAAATTACAGTAATATCGCGAGTTGTCAGTAAAACTTTTACTGTGTAGGCAATGGTTTAGCCTTACATGTTTTTATGAAATACACAAGCCCAGTTGACAGTGCCGGATTAAGCATCGTCTGGCCTCAAGGCACATTTTGGAAATGGCCCAAAAATGTTAATTGAATGGACCCCATGGTAATAATTACGAAATGTAAAAACCCCAGCTACCGTGACTACAAAATCGTTCGTGTCGGAGAGAAGCGATACTCTGCCACAACTCTAACAGTAGAATGTCTCGGAGTTTTCTGGCCTAATAATACCGGAAAATAGAGTGTAAATAATATTGCAGTCCAACTTTTGATGGCCCATCATTTTCGCCTGGCCCACAAAAGGCTTGTGCTTTATTTGCCTAATGGTTAATCCGGCACTGCCAGTCGAATTTCGTGGTGAAATTTGGCATAAAAAAACGTGTTTCGCATGAAATTCACATAAATTCAATTGATAAACGTTGTTTTATAAAATGTAAATATAATTTAGCTTAGCATAATGCAAAATTTTATCTATTTGAAATTAATGAGGAGAGTCATCATCTAAATTACAGTACCCTCTCAAATTAAGACCACCTTCGGGACTTCCAAATGTGGGGTAGTCTCAGGGTTTGGTCTTTAATTAAAGGGTTATCATATAGAATTATCATGGATTGGTGAGGTTAGCTGGACATCCATTCAACTGGCTCCGGGAGCCAATATGACACCCTTCCAGCAACTCCTTCAGGATGACTTCAAAGCCCTTCTTCAAATATTTAGCCTTTCCATATGATGATGGATACATATGAAGATATGTAAATACACACAATGGATGGAGAATGCTTCATGGAATCTAACACTCTAGCTAATATATCTATTGTGGTTTGTAAATTAATTTTTAATGGTACATGAAAAGAGGAAGCAAAATATGCTAGGGGTTGGGATACATGTACAGGACATCATGCCTAGGGCCTTAACTAACAGGATACTACATATGGAGGTCATTGTATTGTTTTGTTTTTGTTTTTTAAAGAGAAGACATTAAATTAGTATTTTTTGTTATATACCTCGTAACTTGTAGTTGGTACAGTCATTTTAAAGAGCCCTTAAAATAAAGGAGACACATTCTAACCTTATGAGGCTACTGTACAAACATTTCTGACTATGCTGGGATTGAGGAAGTCATAAAATGAGTGTGTGCCAACACTTCCATACAAGAAGCATCGGCACTATTTTGGCTACCAATGATTATCCAGCCACAGCAGCAGACCTGGTATACTTGGTAGACCTAAGTACAATTTAATAAACACCATGCATGTCCATGGGGCAAGGATTATTTTCAATAGGGAATAATAATGCTTTATTCAATGGTTCTTAATAATTTTCACATCATAATTTCATAACATTTATCAAACAACATAAAGATATACAATAAATATGAGCGAAGTTATTATACAATGAACAGTGAATAACACTGTAGTGACAAATTCACTAAAAATTTTGATTTACATAAATTGTTTTAAAGGAACTGAAGTCCTAACAAATAATAATATTAATAAACATATTCAATATTTTACTTTTTTACAAATTGATAATTGAATAAAACAAATATTTACAATAAACTCATTAATATACCACTTAAAAGAAAAAACACAACCTTTTGTTGGTTCCGAATGGATAATATTTTACAAAGCAATGTGTCGTATAACTCCCTTTGATACATTGTGGAAGTGGAATCTGTAAAAAGAGGCTTGGTTACAAAGTGGTATCAACCAGCATTGTTTATCAAAATGGTATCACCCATGCTTTCTTTTATGTTTCTTTGTATTGATATTCTTTGTCCAATCACCTACACACATTCATAAAATAAATAAAGATGTGAACAATTCTCATTCTAAAAGGCAGCCATATTTACCAGACTACTTGAATTAAACATACTGTACTGATACTAAGGATTAAATAAAGCGAACCTTTTGGATTTTCAAAATATCAAAATATTCGGATTGAAAGTAAGTCAAACTTCAATTACCACTTGAATCTAGTTGTCTATATCACTGTAGACCATTATACAGGAGGGCAAAGACAATCATGATACAAAGTAACAACATTTTGCTAAAGGAAATTTAATATTTTTTGTACTAAAAGCACATATTGTTGACAAACTAAGTTATGTTATTTTTCCTTCAACCAAGAATAACAATTTAATTCAGAAAATAGTGTTGTGGAAAGAAGAGGAATTTATTATATTGAATAAATTGCAAATTATATAGAAGATGCATTAATGAACTTTTCAGGAAAGATTATTAACCTATTTCAATTGTATGTCATTTGAAATATCAATATAATCATATATATTTTACTTAAATATAAAAACATTGGGCTTAATCGACTGGTTCATTAAATTGAGTACAAATTTTCGGCGAGTATTATTTTTATTCGACTGGTTTGTAAAATAGACTTTGTAGACAACGAAATTAACGTAACCAGAATGCGTTAATCAGCGTTAAGTTATGCACGTAGCCAAAATAAATATTGCCGATTGGTCATTTGTGTTAATATAATTTAGATTAAATTTCAGAAAATAAAAATTACAATATTTACCCATATTGAAGTAAAAAAATAGTTGTAGGCTAACAGAATTCAAAAACTGGATGAAAACATTTTTTTACAAAAAAAACCCATACTGCCACAATCCGAAGCAGAATTGATTACGCAGCGTGTATCGCGGTAACTATGCAGCCATTTTGTTTAGTCGAGTATTTTACCAGTTTTTTTATTCAACAGTCGTCTTCGTTAAGTAGGATTTCACCACTGCGCAGGTGGGCATGGTTTAACGAAGAACGACCAGTCGAATACGGCTATTGCTTTCAATTGCTCTAAAAATTAGGATGGTGATAAAAGTTTTTGCTAAGAGTTGCATAAAAACATATGCTAACTATGAAGCAAGAGAATAAAATGTTTCGGTAAAATACAGTAGGTCATAAAGCCTTGATTACTCATCAATTTGATAGCATTCAAATTTATTAATGTATAAATAGTAAAGGACAATTTTAGTTTTCTACTAGACTATTTCAACAACTATATGCATTTTTTATAAAATAAAAAGTTCTATAATTTCTTTTTATCAGAATTCCAACATGGCTGAAAGTCAGCAGGAATCCGTTGAAGATACAAATACTGGTAAATGTCAAATTTGCCTAAAAACATTTAAAGAATTAAAAATACTAAAGTGCAAACACAGCTTCTGCATTTGTTGCCTTCACAACTGGTTGAAAGAAAAGGGTGAACTGGAATGCCCAAGCTGTCGCCAAATCCATTCTGTTCCTGATGGTGGACTTCAAGAACTACCATCAAATACCATTGAAGCGGAAACATCAGAAAACCTGATTAGAGATCACAACAACATCAAGTGCTGTTGTGGTAAATGCAATGCAGACTTCTACTGTGAGGATTGTAACCAGTATTTGTGTACTTCTTGCAAAACTACTCATGAATTATTTCCTGCACTCAAGAACCATACACTACAGCCAATCAATGCTATGCTACTTTCCACAGAAGCAATGCACCAGCCAATGTGTCCACAGCATGAGAAAGAGTTGGAATATTATTGCAAAGTTTGTAAAACTCCAATTTGTCAAAAGTGTGCTAATATTGAGCACACTGAAGATGATGGACAACATGAAACAATCAGAGCATCTCATGCATTCTCAGGTTTAAGAATATCATCAAATGCTTTGATGATTCAGGTGGAAGTCCATAAACAACAGGCTCAAGAAGTAATAAGCAAATGTATGGACAATGCCTCTGAGCTTAGTAAGAGGAGAAATGATATTATAAAAGACATTAACACCACTGTAGAAGAAATGGTTAAATTAGTCAGTGAAACAGGTAAAGCATTGGAAGATAAGTTAAAAGATGTCTGTGAAGCAAAGGACGAGAAAAATAACTCCCAAATTGATGAACTCAAATCAACTATATCAGATGTTGAAGAAAAACAAGATTGCATCACAAAATTATTGAAAAGTGGTAAAGTAACAACCCTCCATACATGCCAACAGGCAATACAAGAACTGCAACAAAAGATTGCTGTCTTACCAGAAAGACAACCTAGAGATGATGGCAAGATATTTTTTTCTTCAAGAACAGATCAAATAGTGAGTTCTTTCAAGGAAAATGGAATAGGTACAGTTAGTGAAAAGCCAAATGCAAATATCTTTGAAATTGTATCTGCAAATCCAGTGAGATGTTATGGAAGTTTTTATGTTGAAATTGCTCAAAGACATAAATGTGAAATAGATATAAATGACCTGAGTGCAGTACACCTATTAAAAAAGCCAATAGAAATGGATTATACATACAAGGCAGAAATTGTAAAATCTCAGGGGAAATATTTTTTGAAAGGGTCCTCAATGAAAGATTTGACATTGGATGTCAAGCTTTGTGATTCTCCAATAAAAGGATCTCCAATACAAATACAAATTATAAAACATTCCAGGTATTCATACAGTGCTGCAACTGTTTATCTAGCTAAAGATATTATGGGTTGTAGCAGTATAAAAGATTTAGTGATGTCTGAAAATGGTTGGTTTTTAGTTGTGTGTAACTCAAATTATGTCTTAAAATTTGAAAAATCTGGAGCCTTATTAAGTACAATAACATTACCAGAAGTTTCAAAGGTTAATCAAATATGCAAATTGAGAAACAATAACCTGATGTTTTATGACTACGGTAAACAAAACATACAGATTTGCAAACAAGATGGTCAAGTAATCAAATCAATAAATTTAGAGTCACCAAAAAGGAATTGTTTATCACTTGGTATTGACATGAATGAAAACTTAAACTTAGTGTATGTCGCTAATCAAACTGCAAATTGTGTGCAGGTATACAGCTTAGAAAGTCTTCTTAAGGTGTCATCCATTGGATCTAAGGGTGGTCTTGAAGGACAAATGAATAGACCTTCTGATGTTGCTGTCACAAAAGAAGGAAATCTTATTGTGTCTGAAAGAGACAATCACAGACTGCAACTATTTGATATTGATGGTCAATTCATCAAAATTCTTATTGGTGGAGGAGATAAAGATGGTATGGTGATAAGACCAACCAGAGTAAGTGTTGATGATGAGGACAACATTATTGTAGCAAGTGAAAGCAAAGTGCAGTTATTTGACAATCATGGCAATTTCATTAAAGTGATTCATCAAATTATTAATGAAAAAAAACAATTTGCAATTTCAATTGTCTCTCACTTCCCCCGAAAAATCGCATTAGCAGAAATAGATTCACTTACGATCAGTGTACATCAATACTAAGAGACAAAATTCAACATTGTGAAGATTAGATTACTGTAAATTATCAGGGAACTGTACTGGAAAGTATTAAATACTGTGTTATTGTGTTTTTGAGGCATTTAAATTATTGGGTCCCTATTCATTATTTTTCCCTTACAACTATTCTCTTAGCATACAGACCTATTCACAACCAACCTTGAGCAATTTTGCAAAATGTAGCATTTGAAAATGAACTAAAAAGAAAATAAATTGATGCTGTTTAAGATAGTGTGAAACAAAAAGTAATACAAGCCATATATTCTTATCAAAGATACCTACATGAACAATGACAATTCTTTTGAAACTTTTAATCATAATGGCTTTTATCACAATCTGTTCTTTGTTTTACTGATGTTTCTATGTATAGTTTGTGTTAGGCATTAGGTGTTAAGCTGAGCATTTGCGAGTGCTGCCGAAACAAAAGTATGATGTTTAAATGAATGTTAAACAATCACCTAAATAGCTGTATATTACAGGACTTTTGTAAGACTGTACACCTGCACTATTATAAAAAACCTTGCTATATGAAATATTTCTTATAAATTAACTTTCATAATGTTATTGAAATCTTTGTTTTCCTACAGTGTATAGAGTTTGTTAATGTATTTAAAAAGCTTCTATCTAATTTAGCTAAGTTGAAGAATTGTAGCACTGAATATGTAAATTTACTCAAATATTACATTTTAATCTGCATTACAACAGTCTGAACTACAGTATACACACAATAGAGAGTATAGTAGAGTAAATATATTTATCGTTTTCTAATAACTTGCTTGGAAAAGTGTTTACTACATGATATTACATATTGAATTTAAGGAACATATACAATTTAATGAGCTTACATAAGAATAGTCTAGAATAGAGGACAACAAAATAATAGAGAATAGCTGAGCAAAACAATTAAAAATAATGTATAGTTGAGCAGGAAGAATTATCTGTGGGGCATCATGAAACTTTAAATAGTGAAGTAAAGAAAAGTACTGGATTGGAGAATACTTTTTGATGCAGAGCCTATTAGCCTTATATTTGTATACAAGATTCTCCATAATATGTTGCCTTCCTATCCTGTGAATTTTCAGTATTGATTAAATAATCCTAAATTTAGACACAGGCATTCAAATGTTGTATTGCTTTTCAAAAGAGTGAATATAAAATAACAAAGCTTAAAGGAACATTAGAATGCAATAACCTTAAATTATATTACAAATGCAATAACACTTTCTTAACTTAGAGCCCAATCATACTTAAGAGTTACTGTACGTCGGCCCAGGGCCACCCCAGGTTCGACATTTTTTAAGTGTGAACAGTCAATAAATGTTAAGCCGGCCCTGAGCCGACCCAACTTTATATCTGAACGTAAGCCGAACCTGAGGCGCGGCCAAGTTCGCTTTGATTGCATCCGATTCATCTTGTCTACCACAATATTCATTCGAACTGACTTGTGCGAAAAAAAACCCCATTGAGAAATAAATTGTTAAGGAAACTGTAAAGTAAAATTTATTGGTAGGATGATGTCATATCACATTTCAAATTGCATCAAGAAAAGTTGAACTATTTTGGTGATATCTGTCAAAATGTTTTTTTCAATTTTTATAGAAAACACCTTTTGACCAATTCAAATACTACAAATCATACCAACCAATCAGATTTGATAATTCAGTTTTATCAACAATTTTTTTAGGCAGTTTGATATATTATAATGATATCGTTCCATCACATTTTTATTTGATGCTTTTTTTACAGCTTACAGGTAAAATTTTTGTATTCAGTTGAACTATATTTGTTGAATAAAAGTACAGTAGGTTTCCTTGCCTAACTCATTACTACTCACAGCCTCTGTGCGAAGCATTAGCATGCAACATCACGCACCACATTGTAAGCATAATAATAGAAAGGGGAAATACCATGTGATACAAAGCTTACACATGGGCAGTTTGGCAAATGACGTATGCTGCGACTTTCTTTTCTACAGTTGAAATTCCAGCAAAAAAATATATATAGGCCTATACAAAGCTCAAGAAAACCCGTTATTTGTATAGCACATATTCATTTTACAAGTTCATATTCTAAAATCATAACAGTGATTGTGGTACTGTATCATTCTTTCTGTGAACGTCATCCTCTTCCCCGAGGACCCGAAAAAAAAATAATCGTTTGTTATTGTTATAAGCGAAGCGGGTTCTAAAAAGAAAGTATTAAAAATTGTTTGTGAATTTAATATGGAAATAATTATTATTGTCAAATAGATGCTTAATGCTACTATATTTACAATCTGTATCTATAGACGCCAAACAGTGACAGCAACCTTCAGTCTTACTTAGGCCTAAACAGTTACAATAATATATACAGGTATGAACTTTCAAAATCGCGAGTCTGGTTTTCCACTGAATAAAGTCGAGGTTATTATAATAATTATCGTCGCCATAATCATGAGGCAAAATGCTACGCTTAAAAAAATCGAAAAAGTATAAGGACAATAATTAATTGAAATTAGGGTCATGTTTCGTGCAAATTCTATGTGTTTATGCTTGGTTGGGATTTACCGTTCCACCATCATGTAATACGATCGCATCAACTTTTCTCTCCTGCAATTCATCGACCCGGCCTGATAAGTATTCACATTACAGAAACTTGTCGTACAGTATTTGAATATGACACCGGAAGTGAATAAACAGCCTCTTTGGCTACGAACAACAAGACAATAACAGTGTAATAATGGCTTCAATGATCAGTGCGTCAAATGCGTCTAACCCAATAAAAGTTGAACTTGAACTAAATGGACAGAAATTTGATTTTGAGATTGATACCGGTGCTAAGTATACGGTTGTACCTGAATGGGTATATAGTAAATTAACCAATGTTTCGCTTTCAGAGTCTAGTATTCTTTTTAAAAGTTTTACTGGTGAACGTGTTAAGCCCTTAGGTACATGTACTGTAAATGTGCAGTATAAAAACCAATGTAAGAAATTGAATATGTATGTGGTAAAAGAAACTAACCAATTGTTATTTGGTAGAGATTGGTTGCAATACATTCAGTTAAATTGGTCTGAATTAATTCAAAGCCTACATTATGTTAACAAAATACTAAATGATCATAAAAATCTGTTTGATGGTAAATTAGGCAAACTTAAGCATACTAAAGCTCATATTGAGTTGAGAGATGAGGCTACACCAATTATTAGTAAGTGTCATCGTGTACCCTACAGTATGCCTTAAAAGAACATGTAAACAACGAAATCGATCTATTAGTAGAACAAGGAATACTAACACCTGTTAATCATACAGAATGGGCTAGTTCAATAGTGGCCATTAAGGAGAGGGTGTCCGAATTTGTGGTAATTACAAAATGACTATTAATCCAAATTTGAAACCAGTGGCCCCTCCCAATATCAACGTAGAGGATATTTTATCAAAATTAGCGGGAGGCCAAAAATACTCGACGTTAGATTTAACACAAGCTTATAATCAGATGGAACTTACTGAATTATCCAAGGATCTGTTAACGTTAATCACCGAGAAAGGTTTCTATCAAGTAAATGGCCTTGTGTATGGTATTAGTTCTGCTCCATCAATTTGGCAAAATGCCATGCTACAAATTATTGTGGGTCTAGACCAAGTGATGGTTTATTTAGACGATATAATCATCACAGGAAAAGATGATGTTGAACATCTAAGAAATTTAGAAAAGGTATTGACTCGATTAGAAGAGGAAGGTGTCAAATTAAGACATGATAAGTGTCATTTCATGCATGATTCAGTTGCATATCATTGCATATCATTGATAAAGATGGTGTCCATAAGAGTCCCATTAAAGTTGCCTAAATTCTGCAAATTCCTCTTCCACAAGATGTGGGACAAATGAGATCATTATGTGGGTATGATCAACTATTATCAATCATTCATACCAAATTTAGCTACATTGCTAAGACCATTGTATGCAATGATAAGTAAAGATAAATCATTCATTTGGACTGATCAAGCACGAACAGCTTTTGAAGGTTCAAAAATGGCATTGGCTAATTCAGGTTTTTTGGTACATTTTGATCCGAGCTTGTCAGTCAAAATTGCGACAGATGCTTCACCGTATGGTGTTAGTGCCATACTTAGCCATATGATTGAAGGGCAAGAACCTCCCGTAAAAATTGCATCGCACACATTATCTAAAGCAGAACAAAAACAAACGAGAAGCGTTAGGAATTATATTCGCACTTAAGAAATTTTATCCATATATCTACAGAAGAAAATTTACACTTATAACTGATAATAAACCTTTGGTAACTATATTTGGCACAAAGAAAGGTCTATGATCAGTATTAGCTGCAGAACGAATGCAGCGGTGGGCATTATTTGTTGCCAGGTTCAATTATGATATTGAATTTAGATGTAGCAAGGCAAATGCTAACATAGATTGTTTCTCCAGGTTACCAATTGATAAAGCAGAGGAAATAAACATAGATGTGAATGTTAGCTTTATAGACACGATAAATGCGTTACCAATCACAGCTGAAGAAATAAGTAAAATGACTAGTAAGGATATTCAGCTAAGTAAAGTGAAACGTTTAATAATGAATGGTTGGATATCAAATGATGATAAAGCCATAGAGCCATATTATTTAAGACGTAGTGAATTATCGATTGAGAATGGTTGTATTTTATGGGGGGAGAGAGTGGTACTTCCTTCAAAGCTCCGTGGTAGGGTCATGGATGATTTGCACTGTGGTCATCTTGGGGTTGTAAAAATGAAGAGCATCGCTCATTCATACATTTGGTTTCCGAATATTGATTCTGAAATTGAACGGTTGGCTAAGGCATGTGATCCTTGTCAACGTATACAAAGTAGACCAGCTACAGTACCTATGCATCCATGGTTACCTGCTCGGGTGCGCTGGTAAAGAATTCATATCGATTTTGCTGGACCATTCCAAGGACTAAGTTCCTTATTGTAGTTGATGCATTTAGTAAATGGCCAGAGGTAAAAATAAGGAAATCGACGACAGCCATGAGTACAATTGAAGTACTCCGACAAATGTTTAGTCAATGGGGTATTCCTCAAATTGTAGATTCTGACAATGGAACTCAGTTTACAGCTTCAGAATTTAAAGATTTCATGAAAGCTAATGGTATAATTCATAAGTATTCCTGTCCAGGTCATCCGGCTACTAATGGACAGGCCGAAAGATTTGTCCAATCTATGAAGCAAGGTTTAAAAGCCGCAGTTAATGATAAGTGTTCGATTCAAACAAGGTTAAGTAAATTCCTCTTAGCATATAGAAATGCCGAGCACAGCCTGACTAAGAAATCACCTGCTCAGTTGTTCTTAATGCGAACTCAAGACCAAATATACAGGTAACTGTTAGAAATCAAATGCATAAGGAGATGGAAAAGTCTACCAAGAAAGTTAGAACCTTTTCAGTTGGGGAACTAGTATATGTGAGAGATTTTAGAAACAATGGGAGTCACAAAATTAAGTGGGCTCCAGGGACAATAATTGAGAAGAAGGTCCTTTAAAATATGTGGTTAAAGTTGGTGCACAGTTTTGGAACAGACATACAAATCAAATTAGATCCAGAATGGCAAATGTTTCAGAAACTGAGGATAATATTGAAGAATTGTTAGATCAAATGTTAGACAATGATACACCAGAAAGTAAGGTGGTATTAAATGATAAAAATAAGGTAGTGCAAGAAATTAATGTTCCAGCACCATTGCAAAGATCATGCAGAATTAGAACAAAAAGGAGGAGGTTAATTGAAGAATGTTACTTTAATAGGAAAGGGTTAAAGTAGAAATTAAATGAAGAAAAGATACAGTAGATACAGTAGGTACAGTATAGAAGGATAGAAAGATGTTACATGGAATGGATTTAATTGAAAGTGTTGCAGTATATTGTTTTTGTGTTTAAAAAAAAAATATATATATATAACTGACACATAATATGAAATAATATAATATAATAGGATAACTTTAAATTAACAAGGGAGAATGATAAGTATTCACATTACAGAAACTTGTTGTACAGTATTTGACGTATGACACCGGAAGTGAATAAACAGCCTCTTTGGCTACGAACCGGAACGTGCGCGCTGGACTGTAATTATATGTAGTAAATTTGGTCCAAATACATGTCATGGCCCAAAGGAGAAATGTGAACGTTCGTAAGGCGGCCCTGGGCCGACTTAAAAAAGAAAATTTGTTAGAGTCGGCCCTGAGTCGGCTGTATTTAAGGCAGCCCTGGGCCGACCCTAGGCCGGCCTAACAAGTGTGATATGCTCTAAGCATAAAGCCCTGTCTAGTCTATCAAATCTTATGTGACAAAAAAAAATGAGATGTGGCCATATATGGGCATGATGATATCATATCACATAATTTCAAATTGCATCAAGAAAAGTTGAACATGAACTATTTTGGTGATATCTGTCAAAATGGTTTTTTTTTTTCAATTTTTATAGAAAATACCTTTTGACCAATTCAAATACTACAAATCACACCAACCAATCAGATTTGATAATTCAGTTTTATCAACAATTTTTTTAGGCAGTTTGATATATTATAATAATATTGTTCCATCACATTTTATTTGATGCTTTTTTTACTTAAATTTTGTAGTAAGACAGAGCTGTAGATTATTACACTGTAAATTTTTTTAATCTATTTTTTTTTTTTTTTTTTTTGCAATTTAAATTGAACTTTGTCATTTTGTATAAATTTGTTTTTCTTATTACTTCTCAAGCTGAGTATGCAGAACTTCTGTAGTTGCTATGAAAATTTAGCCTAAATATGGAAATATGGAAATAGACAAACATACTACAGAAGTTTATCATAGGCCTATAGGCTGATAAATAAATAGGCCTAAAGTATCAACAAATGACTTTTCTATCAGGATCTTTGGTTATATTGTTAGACAACTCATATTGTCACATTACTGATTATTGTGAAAACTAATAACAAATCTTCATCCTGTCACATTTGTTTGAAATTTCACAGCTGTTATTATTATTATTAACCTGTAATTTAAGCAACCCATATTTTGCGCTGAAGACTAGGTGCTACAGAAATTTTGCATTTTACAATGGATATTTGAATACTTACATGTACTATCATCACATTTAAGTGTAAAAAAGCTTTGTATTTTGGGGATTTCCTAATGAATACAATCATGAAATTACTAATAATAATATTATAACATAGATAATTATTATAATAATTTAATATCAGATTCTACACTACCAAAGTATACAAAACTTTTATATTAGAATTCTCCAATAAATAATAAAATTATAAATAATAATATAATAAATAATTATAATAATTTATATTATAAAAAATAAATAATCATTATAATAATGTTATATTAGAATCTACACTACGTCAGTGTACAAAGCTTTTATTTAGGATTCCTCAATAAATACAATAACATTATTAATAAAAATATAATAAATAGTTATTATAATAATTAATATTATAATAAATATTGTTATAATACAATATCAGTATCTACGCTATTAACAACTTCACACAATACATTGTATCAATAAACATATAATTAATTACTACACAGACACACTGCATGCCATAAAGGTGAAGATTGAAAGATGAACACAAAACAGAACCTTATAAATTAAATGACATGTACTTCAGAGAGAAGACCAGTATTTTTGAAATTAGGTTTTTTTTTATATGAATCATGTGTTTCATATAAAACTCACCACTGTTGAAGCATTAGTGTTGTGTGAAAGCTCTGGTTCTTTTTATTAACTTTAGAATTTCATATTTTTATCCCTACAGATATCCAGCCATGATTTTCTCAGCATTATATTAATATAATAATAATAATAATAATAATAAGCAAACAAAAAATGAATTAAAGTATTACACTATCTTACCTTATATAATGTTAAGAGCTTTATTGCTGTTATGGACCAAGTGATTTGTTCAAGGAAACTGTAAGACAAAAAAGAAGTATTGATATTTTCATTATATATGAAGATAAAGAGAAGTTCTATTATAATATAAGCCAGAGTACTAGATAAATATATCAAAAAGTCATTTTCTTGTTTTGGTGACTAATGCTGGATTTGAAGAAAGCTCATTAAAATGAATCTCCCAAAAAGTGGTTTTCTCAACTTGTAAAATGGTTGCATCACTACTGTGCATAAAGAAACCACAACATACTGATTCTTCATGAATGCATTAAAAACTGTTATTATGTGTTGTTATGACAGAAACATCCAGAGTATGTTGACATGACAGACAATTAGCTAAAACAGTAAATATAAGCCTATATGTATCATATGTTAAAAGTCTCTTTATATTAAATTCTAAGAACTGTATCAATTGCTAATGTTACAGAGACTAACGAGTAATTTTCTAAATACATTGTGGTTTTAGAGTTGCCCTAAGATATGATTGGATATGATTTAAAGCACAGGTGGGCAAAGTGCCCAACAGCAATTTCGGCCTGCAAAAATATACCAAGAACCCATGTGAGTGGCCAGCTTACAATCTTTGTCTAAAAAGTCCCTAATTTTCACAGCCCACACAGATCAACTATAACAACTGAGCATAAAGCAGTATAAAATTAAAAGTTGAGTGCATTAACATAAAGGTCAACATTTTACCATGAAACATATTAGCATGGGTATGGTTAAATAGTTAATATATTTTGAACCCCTCCCCTGATCTATTTTCTTGCCCTAGCACTTCTATTAACTTAACTTGACACAAAATAAGATATGAATTGTCCACAGCTGCTACAGCTTGGTCTAGCTCAAACAGTGATTGGATAGTAGCAGACTGTAAGCTCACAGCTGAGTATTAGTGTCAATATTTACTACTACTGCATAATTATTCATGACAGTGTGTGGCATGATAGTGATACCTGGGAAAAAGACTTCAACAAAAAAATTACCACTTCTGAAAGGCAGCCATATTTACCAGCACTGCTTCAATAACATATTGTCACTATTAGTACCTTGCAATTTGGATTTAAAGAATATTAACTTCTATGTAAGTATCACTATAGTTAGTTATTAATTGTTTGCATTTTGAACTACATAACATCTATGAGATATGCTCCATGTCTGCTGAGATGTAATGAATAGGCACTGCATCAATATGCATGAGCCTATTACAGGATACAGTATCCAATGTGCAGCCATCAAAACCCAGAACAGGATATTTGCACAATAAAATAATAGACAGCATGAATTGGTTTTGAAAGTTTTGTGCTTTTTCTGTCATTATAGTGTTCATTCAGTTATTCACCGTATTTGCAATTTGTAACACTTGACTATTTGCTTCGTTGCCAACTCTCGTAGTTGTTCTTTAGTTGATGACTTTACGTGTACCAGGATATAGGAAGCTTGTTGATATGGGACTGCATGCCTGACTGGGATTGTTGGTTAATTTAGGTTGGGTGCTAAACATGCTCAAAAGCATATTGGAAAAAAAGCATGATGGGATAAATCATAATTTGAAAATAACAGGTTTTCAAAATTTCAGCTAAAATTTTTAAAAACTAAGTACTTTAAAAGAATCTATATAGAAGCTGCATTAAATGAAATTCAGGAAAGATTATTAACCTATTTTAATTGTATGTAATTTGAAATATCAATATAATCATATATATTTTATTTAAATATTAAAATATTGAGATTATTCGACTGGTTCACTACAATGAGTACAAATTTTCAGTGAGTTATTTTCATTTCAGTGGAGGGCTGAAAATTAACCTCTAAACCATTGGCCAGCAGGGCCAGTAAGGAAAAAATTATACTGGCCCTTCGAAGGTTATACTGGTCCTATTTTTTTTACGGTCCGAAATTTTACGAAAAAAAACCCAAAATCAATAAAACCAGCAAAATGACATTGGTGTAATAATTGTCTTTAACCAAAATCATTAGTCCGAGAAAAAATCCATTGTATTACTATTCACGATCGACACAAGAGTTTTTATGGCCCAAAAATGTGATTTTAGACCACATAGAGATTGGCAATCAAAATAACATTATTTTATAGGCAAATTATTATTGTTAGCACACCAACGAGATACAGTAAGTTTTCTAAATATAACACAAAAGTTGAAAAAATTACAAAGGCCTAGACATAAAGTATTCTCCTTTTAGTTTAGAACGAAATCGGGGTGGGGGGGGTGCAAGCCCGTAGTCAGGATTTTCATAGGGGGGTTCTTTTTGATACTAAAAAGGCCCTTGCGAGCGAAGCGAGCACCATTAGCAGGGGGCCAGGGTGTCGCCACGGGCCCCCGGTGGGGTCCATGGGAAAAAGACGTGGTGAGGGTCCAGGGGGCGAAGCCCACGGAAGCTCCAGCATTCTAGACACATACAGGTGTTACTTAATTGATTTGAGAGGCCATACATTTTTAAAAAGTGTATATATTAAAGAGGTAATTTTGTGAGTTAGGCAAAAATACATCCCGGTATTTCTGAGTCAAGGTTTCGGGGCCTGAATGGTCATACTGCACAATAAAATATTGCATCCACAGTAATAATTATAATACTGTATAATATAATGATTTACTAGTATGGTTTGTATGGTTGGTTGTAGTGTATTATTATATATACAGGTGTGAAACTATCCCCCGCCGGACACCATCCCGGTATTTCTGAGTCAAGGTTTTGGTGCCTAAATGGTCATACTGCACAATAAAATATTGCATCCATAGTAATATAACTTGGTGGCCGACGATCGTATTGGGAAGATCGGCGATACGCTCTGCTGCTGCTGCTGCTGCCCTGCCCTGTTCCTATTTTGGGCGGTTAGCCCTACACGGTTGTACTGATTAAATAATAATGTTGTAACTGTTGAAAATGCCCTATTTTCATTTATTTTTTATATTACTAGGTAGGCCTAACAATTGGGTATTAAAGTAGGACATTTTTTTAATGATGATAGGCTCTAGGGTAGGCCCAAGGTGTAGGCTAGTCAGCCTTTGTTGAAAGGGCACTTCATGAAAAGGGGGGTTCGTTCGCACCCAACGAACCCCCCTGGCTACGGGCTTGAGGTGCAAGGAGATCGTGGAGCAAGGAAAATAGCCTACTTTTGGGAATTAATGGAACAATAGTGTCGCCAGAAAACCTGTATTCTATGCATTTTCAGCATAATTATGTATCAGGGCATAAAGTTCCAACAAGGATTATTCAAAATTGGCTTGGGTCTGATCGTCTGGAAATAGGCCCAAATTTTTCACTGCAATGATCAAGGACTTACAATCTGGACCTACTGTAGCCTAGGCCTAGTAGTAGGCCAGGCCTAGCCTTGGCAGATGCTACTAGGCCTAGGTGGCCATCATTCTGCTCTACAGTACCTACACTGTGTAACATAATAACACGTGGTGCATTCTTAAAATATTACACACATTACTTAAATGTATTTTACATATCAGGCGAGAACACGAAATCATTGATTAAATAATTATGAATGACATTTCTACCACCATCGCATGCAGACCTTGATCCTAGGCCTAAGCATAGGTAGTCCTCCAAGGATAAACAAGCTCAGAAGTCGTTATGTACCCGATGGTCACCTGCCTTTAGGTATACTTTTGTCGCCAGTTTGCGCCCACAGGGTACACACCAGCTAGCCGACTGTCGTGAATATAGTTCCTTCGTTTAATCGTCATACATGAGGTGATTCACCTACATATAGTCGTCGTCATACAGCCACTGCACTCCATCCACCACTTTAAAATAACAAATAACAAACAATGACATTTGCAGCTAGACTACCAATACAACAACACAAATAAACTTTGCATGGCTATGATTGGCGAAAAATGGAGCTCGGACGAAAACAAAAAACGATGTATTTTAGCAAGTATTTGAAACTTTTAAATGATTTTTAGCCTTCGCTAAAATGGCTAAATGTAGTTGGTTATTTTTTCACCAATCCAAAATAGTAAGGGTCGCCAGACTGGGCGATACCCAAAACATTTGTTATCACCCGACACCAAAAAAGGTCGCCACTGGCGACCGCTAATTTCTAGCCCTGCTGGTTCGTAAAATAGACTTCATTGACAACGAAAATTAACATATAAACCAGAATGCGTTATTCAGCATTAAGTTATGCATGTGGCCAAAATAAATATTGCTGATTGGTCAGTTTAGCAACAACATTTGTGTTATTATAATTTAGATTAAATTTTAGGAAATAAAAATTACAATATTTACCCACATTGAAGTAAAAAAATAATTGTAGGCTAACAGAATTCAAAAACTAGAAGAAAACATTTTTTACGAAAAACCCATATGATACATTGAATGTTTGTTTTTTTTGTATTATATATCTCTGTTTCTGAGGTTTTTGAATAAAAGTGAAATTGAAATAAGGAGCTGGAGTACATAAATAAATGGGTTTTTTTTTTTCTAAATGATGTCGGTTTTTACTTTGTCTAATTGCAAACAAAATATAGTACAACATGTCCTTTGGGACACCCCTATGAAAAGGACACTTTTTCAGCTACAAAACAAATGAAATAACTTTTAACACTACAGCAAACCCCATATAATAATAAATAATATGATTTATAAAGTGTACATATCCACTTTGAAAGTACTCAAGGTGGGTGATACTTTTTGGGTTCAAATTTTGGGTGGTGTGGGGCCAAAATTTGAACCCAAAAGCCCGAAAAAGGGGGAGGGGTCTGGGGTTCTCCTCATGGAAAATTTTGATTCCTAGATGGTGGGAAATGAGCTTTCCGACTTTGAGCTAGGTGTCTATTAATGACTTAAGGACTTTAAATCCTTCAATATTCAAGGTAAACTTTCTCATTCTTATAAATTAAATAGACCTGTTAAGTGTGTGTACATACATAAAAAAAAAAGAGTAATTGCTAAATGTTCTTTTTCCCATGAATCGATAAACCCCAAATAGAAGGAAGATCTCGGGGGTTCTCCCCCAGTAAAATTTTGATTCCTAGATGGCAGGAAATGAGTTTCCCGACTTCTGAGTGTCTTTTTATAACAAAAAAATTAGCTCACAGGTCCTGAAAAGGTGGGTCTAGAATTAATTTTATTTTTTTTTTAATCTTTTTTTTTTATCGCCTAAGGGAAGGGGATAAGGACCCCTGACCCCCAGATCCGCCAATGTGAATTGTAAGAAAATCTAACTTGGTCGGGGACTGGATAAACACTCTCTTTCTTTCCCCTCCCTCGCTTCCTTCTCCCTTTTTTATTTTCTTGCATTTCTTTCCGTTCATACAAAAATCTATATATTTTCTGCCAAAAAGTAGGGGGGGGGGGGCAAGGGCCCCGGACTCCCAGTTCCTTCGGCCATGTTATGGTTATAGTTTTCCTCAATGGTTATAGGAGTGCAATGGACGATCTCACAATGGGAGCCAAATTTGTCAAAAGCAAGAGGCCTCCATGGTTACTAGTTATAAAATGGTATCAACCATCATTGCATGTTTCTCGAAATGGTATAACCCATGCTTTTATATTTTTTGGTATTGTTATTTTTTGTCCAATCAGCAGTACCATCTAGAATAAATAAAGATGTGGAAAATTCCCACTTCTAAAGGGCAGCCATATTTACCAGACTACTCGAATTAAACATATTGCTACTAGTAAGGCTTACTAAATATTAGTGATCCCTTTGGATTTAGAAAAATATCAACATTTCACATCCATTGTAAGTTCATACTGCTGCAACAATACAATGTAAGTATAAAGTTAGCATTCTATTTGACAAAAATAATGTCTATCACATCAATGTTGGAAACTAAACAGGAAGGTGGAGACAATGACTTTCACTACTATTTATACGAAATTAAATTATAAACATCTGTTATTTCTCATTCACTGAGAATGAATATGTGGCAAAGACAAGCCAAACCAGTCACTCGTCGCAAATTGTGTTTCAGAGAAAATAGCAAAAACATGCTAGAATGTAAAATTTTTAAAAATCTATTTTATTTCACTAAACTGAGGTTTATATATCTATACATCATGCAGTGCTGATATTTTTCCCAATTTCAATGTTAAAACAACACTTTTTAAAGATTTTATGATAGCTTCTGCATGAGAAATGCCTGAAATCATAAACTTTGAAGGCTGATTTCTCATATATTGTTCATAAACAGCTGTATGTATGCTTAAATGCTTGTAACTTCATAAGTAAATGTCGGATTTGAATGATTTTTTTTACCATTCTATAACTCTTATTTTACTCTTTAACCCTGTGTTAATAACTCAACATAGACTTTTGCAACGAGTGACTGGTTTGGCTTGTCTTTACCACATATTTTAATCAGAAGTTTTAAAACAATAGTAATAGCAATTTATATGGAATTTTTATTTAATAATGAAATTCAGATACATTATGCATAGCGCTTTATACTATATCACTTTTTGTATCTAAAAAGTTGCCAAATTTCATAAACCATAAATGATGAAGTGGAAAAGGTAGCCGTGTTAGTCTAGATAATACACATTAAAGACAAAGAGCATTTTATAGACCTCACCTGATGAAGAACAATGTGTGGTCAAAAGCTAGAATATTAACTTTCATAGAATGTAATAAAATATTTGATGAGTTTCAATCTGCATATCGCGCCCACCATGTTTGTCGAGACTGCACTTTTAAAGGTAGAAAATGAGCCATGGATCAAGGTAAACTTGTCGCCCTTGTTCTCCTGGACTTTTGTCTGCAACTTTGATACGGTGGCCACTGCATTTTAATAAATAGGCTCCAGAGAAGTTGGCTTCTGCACCTTGTTGCCTCTTGTTAATGTTGTATCATCTAGACTCTTGCCTCTTGTTTGGAGTGCCACAAGGAAGCGTGCTTGGTCCTATCCTTTTTTCCATTTACTGTCGCCCCTTGGACGATATAGTTCGAAGACACAATCTGCAGTTTCACTCCTGTGATGACGATACTCAACTGAATGATCAATTAACAGAGTTCATTATTGTCTTTGGCTCCAAGGTGCAGCGTAAGAAGGTACACATTCCGTGTCAAAATTGGTAGTTTACAGATAACTACATCACCTCGGCACAGTTCTCGATGCCAAGATGAATCTCAAAGACCACATTTCTGGAATTTTGAATACTTCATTCTTCTATATTCATAACAATGGGCAAATCAGGTAATATCAGGAAATACCTTACCGAAGGAGCTACAAAACACGTAAATTCACGCATTTGTAACTTCACGTATCGATATGGGGATTCACTTTTGTACAGACTTCCCACTCTTCAAATAAATTGACTCACCTGCTTACAAAACATTGCAGCAAGAATTATCGAACATGTTAAACCAAGAGATCATATTACCCCTTTTTAAAGCAACTACATTGGCTGCCAATACATGATAGATTCCGGACTAAAACTGGTACAGTACTACTCCAGCCTACATCTAAAATCTTCTCACACCACTCAAACCAAGGCGTGAGTGTCTACGATAAAAAAAAAAAAATTTGCTCTATGAACCACGCACACACAACAACTGGGGAAAACGTTTATTTTGCACGCCAGAGCGGTTTTTGTTTTTAATGGGTCTATATAAATGATGTTTTAAAGCAGTTATGTTTTGAAAAAGATCTATGTAATAAAAAGGTGGTAATATAATAAAATTAGAAAATATTTTCTGAGAATTGGCATGTTTAAATAACACCGAAAGATATTAAAAAAAACCCTCATCGCACAATCAATATCAATATATTCAACACATTTATTATTATAAAAAAAAAAGCTAAGTTCTTCTTCTTCCTCCTCTTCCTCTTCTATTCTTCTTCTACTACATCTTATTGACTCTCATTTTGTACACTGAAAATAATAGTACTATTTTACTACATGGCTAAAAAAAGCACAAATATTGTCATTAGGCCTACTACTGACAGGGCCATCGTTAAATTAAGTCAGAGCCCAAAATATAGCATCATATTCAATACGTTATCTGACATCATGAAAACCTAAACTTTAATGCAATTATTTGTTATATACTAGGCCTAATTCGAAATTATTATTTTAAGACTTAATAACATAATAGGCTACATAACGAACTGATTAATAATAGCTGAGATTTGATGCACATTTTAGAATTAATAATTGTTTTTATTATATCTTCCTGAATATTTATTGTCTGCCAAATGAAATATGAATTATATGCATCTTTAGAAATACAATTTCTACAATATTAATCTTGTTTTTATATAGATAAATGTTCGATAAATTCTAT